GCGCGCGGGGAGGAAAGGCGGGGCTTGGGGCGCGAGGTCTTCTGGGAGCTGTAGTCCTAGCCGGAGGGGAGCGGCATCCAAGAGAGGCGGGCACGGACTCCGCTTCCCATCGGTCAGCGCGGCCCCATTGTGGCCGCTCCCGCGCGCTATTGGCTGGCGGCGGGAGAAGGGCCTCGCTCCCCGGCCGGTGACACAAAGCGAATGCAAGATGGCGGAGGCGGGCAGCCCGTGCGGGGGGGAGCCGCGCGCGCCCGAGGAGCGCGAGCTCGGGCAGCGCCTCCGCCGCCTCTACCCCGCCGTCAACCAGCGCGAGACGCCGCTGCCGCGCTCCTGGAGCCCCAAGGACAAGTACAACTACATCGGCCTCTCGCAGGGCAACCTGCGCGTCCACTACAAAGGTGCCGGGGCAGCGGGGCTCGGCCCGGCCGCCGCGGGGCCTCTCCCGGCGGCCGGCGAGGGGCGGCCCGGGCGCCGCTCGGGCCGGGGGCGCCCGCGAAGGGCGCCGCTGTGGCGGGCAGGGCCCGGCCCGGCCGCTTCCCGCCGCTCCCGGTTCGGGGCCGGCCTGCGGCGCTCCGCGCGTTTGGCCTCCTCCGGTTTATACAAAAGGGACGTTTCCAGACTTGGCGGAGCCGGGGAGTCGCGTTGGGCTTTCCCTTGCTGGCTGTCGGAGGCTGTGCGGCCACCCCTGCCCGGCCAGCGCCTTGCCCCCGTTTCTGCCGGGTCGGTAAATACTGATGTAATTCCCCGCCTTGCGTAAGCTGTTTGTTTGCTGGTTTGGGTGCAGAAAACCCCGTGTTTAAAGTGCACGTGTGGGGAGGGAGTGAGGTCGTACCCGAGTCCACAGTGGTTGCACACCAAGAGAAAAACTAGTGCGCCCCGTGTAGGAGCTGTGCACAGCGTAGGACGGTGTATTTCTGGAAAAAAAATCTTTTTTTTTTGATTTTTGGATAAATGCAGAAACGGATCCCTGCTGCTCTCGGTGGAAATGTAACGGACGTCACATCCCCTGAGTGCTTAATCTCTGTTCTCTCCTAGGTCATGGGAAAAACCACAAGGACGCGGCCTCGGTCCGGGCCACGCACCCCATACCTGCGGCGTGTGGCATTTATTACTTCGAGGTGAAGATCGTCAGTAAAGGCAGAGATGGGTAAGCCCCTGAACACAGCCCGCTTTGGAGGATGTGTCACGTTCAGGGACGTACGTTTAGCAGCTCTGCTGGGCTTAGACCTGCGTTCTGGAACGCTGTTGGTTGTGACAGGCGGGTGCATGGCGAGGGGTTTTATTCTTTTGGCTAGTGGGTGTGATGGTGGTAGAATGCGCTGGAACGGGAGGCAATTATGCGCTTTTTTATGTCCTGTTTGATATAGACAGTTAATTCATGAAATTTGGGGTCTCCAGTGCAGTTTTAGTGGCAGTGAGGTGTTTTTTTGTCGTTTATGTATGTATTTTGCTAACTAGGGCTGGTCACTTGGATTGCTTTAACTGGAAAAGGAAGCCCTGTGCTGTCACAGAGGCGACCTAGGAACCTAGCACAGATAAATCCATGCCAGGTGGAGGAATTGGTGCCTTTTTATTTCCTCCTGCAGTGGAGGATGTACGCGTTGTTCTGCAGACTGTTTTCATGAACACATACCTGCTGAAATGTACGTAGATGTTGGACTTGGCATTGATGTAGGCAGGACAGAAGAAGGAGGTTTTCAAAGAAAGGGAGATGAGGTATTTGTAAATTTAGGCTGAGACTTCTGTTGTTCCTGATCCAGGACTAGGATGTATGTGAGATTTGTTTATGTCTTGCCCAGGATGTTTGGAAACTTGAGAAAATAATAAAGGGCTGTTACCAACAAGACTTGGGCTTCTGCTTGTGTAGGTGAATTTTTAACCATAAAAAGATACCGACAAGCTGTGTGTGCATATGCTCTTTTTTTTTTTTTTTAAATTATTTGTTTTCCAGAGAATGAGTATTACAGAACCAAAGAGAAAGCAATGCAGTGTAAGAGATGAGTATAATTCATTAATCTCGGCCTCTAAGGAAGCAGATGGAACTCTGTGCAATTTAGGAGCCTGTGGAAAGGGAAGCAAGAATTCCCAGAGAAAAACAAATCACAGATGTAATCTCTTATTGTTGTAATTTCTTGCTGTCATTAAATTGAGAAGTGACCTGTTTGAAAAGGGACTTGCCAAGGGTCTTGAATTGAGTACATTGCCCACTAAGCACTGCAAAGACATAAACGTTCATCTGTCCAGATGCCGGGCTGAACACTTTACAAATGCAGGTTAAAAAATTATCTGTATTCATTCAGGTCACTGACTTTGCAATTAACTGGTTTTCTCTTTTGAAGCTCCGTGGTTCTTTGCTTTATGTAACTTCTAAAATTAAAACACTGCGTAGTGTTCTGCAAGGCGGTTGCTCAAGGAAGTCACATTAGCAGAGGTCACTGAGCAGCACTGAATCCTTACTGGGGTCAAGAGCAATCGAGATGGAAGACAATGTTTATGCAAGACAATGGATTTTGTCACTTTGATCTTTTTTTCTGTCTGAACAGAAAGCTTTTCATTGTATTCCATAAAGACAATTACTTTTTGGGAATATTTGAACCTGGATATTTTTCTGGAATATTTGGACCATGAATATTTGAACCAATTCAATATATTCAACCATTGTCTGCTCTTTTGGGACTCAGTATATTGTAACTGTGTAACGGGACAGAGACGTTTGGCTTGCTGGGAAGCTCTTTCGTGCTGGTTAGACCATGGTGGCTTCAGTTCAAAGAAAGAGAATGCCAGAATTTGAAGAAGGGATTGGAGGGAGTGGAAGGAGCTTTTCATGGACCCGGGGTGGTTAAGCATGTCCTGGAAGTGCTTTACCAGAGGGAGGGGAAGAGAAATCCTTGTCAACCCATTTTCAGGATTGGTTCGTTAGGTATGAAGTTCCTGTTTTGTAGCTTGTCATTTTATTTGGGCTGCTGAAATGGTGAGCTAACAGGCATGTGATTCTGTGTATGGATTTTGGTGATAGCTTTTCAAGTTTAGGCTTAAAGTGTGAGTGATCAGGTTTGAAAACACAATTTCTCAAAAAAAAAAAAGAAATCCTTAGATGGAATGAATTTCAGGAAATATGCCATAAGTTCTGCTTAATTTTACTCGGCATGCAGTGGAGTTGTACTAAGCCAGAAGGGTGTCTGTTATAGTCTGTCATTGTATACCTGAGTTATATGACAATGTAAATTGCTGTCGTAACCCACAAACTAATGCTGGAGGTAAGGAATGGGATAGAAGCTTCAAGTAGCTTCAACTGTGCGTAGAAGAACAGCATTTGGACACAAGGGAAGAGAGGAACGTGCAGCAGTTTGGCTTCAGATTCCTTTAGAGCAATGGGACCTTGCATCTACTTCTACTACTTCTGCATTGTGTTTCTGCCCTGCTTTGTAAAGGGGCTTTTGTCCTGGAGGCAAATGAAATAGTTTATGGCAAGTTGTCCTTTGCTGTTTCTAGACTTTTCTGCCTGGACACTGGTAAAAAGTGGCTTAGGTTCCTGGTTGAAATTTCAAGGCAATGCGGAGCGTGCCAAGAGCATTGTCTAGGGATCCACTGGTGCCCTCTAGAAACCTTTAAGGTTTATCAGCTTTTGTTTAGCCTTGGATCTTCCACTGTTCATGTACAGAGATACAACCACCATTTAGAAAACGGTGATCGAGGCTTGTTTCTAGCTGAACACCACTCATTTCTCTACTGGTTCTTTTCTTCCTTAAGAGGTCATGTATATCTACTTCTTTTTCCCTTCTTTGGGAGGGGGACAGCTGCTAGGCTGCCGTTGAAAAGGAGGCTGTGTCCTTCATGTAGCAAACCTGGCAGCCCATAGATCTGCTGATCTTACTGTCTTTGGGCAGATGATCCCTGCTGTCTGAAGAGAATTGTGTTTATGGTCCCTGCAGCTAATACTGCAGCCCTCTCTTTACCTCCTGGTAAGTTGGGGAGCAATTCCGCAGCAGGTCAGGGTACAAGTCAAGGCTGTGGGCCTCCCTCTTCCCACCTTGCCTTGTGTTTCCATGTGTTTCCTTGGCGCTTGCTGGCAAAGTGTTGTTATCCTGTCCAATGGTTATTGGCTGAAAACCAGTCACAGCGAAACAATGATCACGTTTGAAGATTTAATCTGTCGATGTCACTAAGTAATTACTGGCCTCTTTTAATGAGGACTCCTGTTCAGGGCTCTGCTCACGGGACTGGCGGACTATGAGGCTGAAGGAGAGTCAATAAAAAGAGAGGCAGAACTGGGATGTGGGTGGATAAGATTGCAGGAACTCTAATATAGTTCAATTCAAATGTTTTTTGAACCATTTAACCATTTTGAACCCTTTAAGACCTGCTGGAGATTTATTTTCCTGTGCCATTTCAGGTCTCTCCTGAGTCTTGTCAGTTCAAACAAAAGGGCAGGGGGCACTGGTTACAACTTGCAGCAAGGGAAATGCCAGCTGGGCATAAGGAAATTTCATTTCCCAATGAAAATTGCTAAGCAGTGGAACAGGTTGCCCAACGAGGGGCATCTCCAGCTTCAAATTCAGCTGGGTAGCACCTCAAACCGCCGGATACAACTTCCAGAGTTATTCCTGGGCAGAAGATTGCAGCAAGTGACCTCTCCAGGTCTCTTCCAGCCAAAGCTGTCATGGTTCTGTACATGTCTTGATTCCAGCACTGCTCAGATGTACGGACTGGCCGAGAGGTACCTGACCGCGGGGTTCCTGAGCTGCTGCAAAGAACTCATGCTTTTATCACAACAGTGTTTGTAACAGTTCAGCCTCATTTCTTTTAACCATGGACTGGTGTATACCCAACCACACGTTCATATGCAAAAATCTGTGTTTCTCTTTGTGTTTGCTGTTGACCTGTCAGCTCATCTTAGAGCTTAAATCATTAAAAGAGATCATTAGATTATCTCAACTCGGCAAATGGGAACAGTTCCTGGAAGGCTCATCGGAGCAGGGCAGCCACCCCAGAGCCTGCAGGCTGCTGGGACGTGGGAGGACAGTTCATCTTCATCCTTTTTCTCGCTGGGCAAGGTGAGTTGTCACACGGGTGACAGTGCCTGCTCCCGTGCCTTTCTTCTTGAGCGGGTGTTTCACACGTGCTGAGCTGTGGTGCAGGGTGCCTGAGGACTTCCCAAGGGGAGATGCTGATTCGTGAGCAGGTTCCTGCTTCTAGCAAAAGCCACCTGGCTTGCAGCCTTCTCTCCGAGCTGCTCCTGGAGGAGGAGGCAGCCTTTGAGCTGCCTTTGTGCGTGTGTTTTCTGGTAGTTACTTGGTTTTGGAGGGGCCCTCACTTGCACAGGCTCTGCTGTGCTGGAGTTCCACAGGAAGCCTGAAAGCAGCAGCCCAGCTCTTCCTCCTGCCGTGATTTTTCCCCCTTTTTCCCTTTGTGCCAGTGCTAGTTACTGTGCAGGCAGCTGGATCAGGTCTTTCTGTTGGGTTGTTTTTGTTGTTTTTCTCAGTCAGTTCCTTGATAGAGTATTTTCTGTGCATGAAGTGGAGAAGAAAAAGGCCAGAAGGGGGAACGAAGAGGGAGAGCTGGAAGATATGGGCAGCAGGGAACCTGGGCATCCTTTTTTCAGCACTGCCTCGGACTGTGTTTCCTGATCTGCTGCCCAGAGATGTTCATCACTGATAGCTCACATCACAGGCTGTGCTCCAAGAGAGGGAGTGAAGAGAGCTTGAGCAAAGAGGCCTGAGAGCTAATCTAGCTTAGTCTACACCAGGGTATCTTTTTGTACTTTCTTACACAAGAATTTTCATCATATAAGGCCAAGGGCGTCATATCCCAGACTTAAAAATAGCTCAATTTCTCCCTATCTAAAAAGGAAAAAATAAACATCAAATATATTGGTTGTTTAGCAGGCTTTACATTAGTACGGAATTGTCTCCTCCTTTCTCCCTTGCTCACGTTCCTGCTTGCCAGCTTTCCATTTCCCTTCAGCCCATGATGGATGGAAGTGCTCTTTGGAAGGGCTTTCCCCAGCGTGCCTCGGAGGTTTGCAGGTGCTGGGAGGCCCGTCCGGGTGCCCAGGCTGGAGGCTTTTGCTGCACGGTCGTCTCTGTTCATCCACCGGCTGCTTGTAACGCAGACACCTTGTGTCGCGAGCCTGGCTGTGGCTGGAGT